CCACGTGAATGGAGAGCAAAAAAAACCGGCAGCTCAAATTCGAAAGCCCGCCGCTTGCATCAATAAAGTTTTCTCCCCTGTAATGTACACATTGTGTATAGTGTTGCCCTTATTTGACAGAAATTTCACTTAATTTTTAAGCATGAAACTAACAAGAGGGTAATATTTATGTTTTAACTGCGTTTAGCTTTAAGCAGAATTCGATACCTTATCTAACCTTTTAATGTACACTAACGTACAGGGGGGGCTCTATACTGACTTAAAAATAAGTTACATGACTTGATTGCAGTGAAAACATTTTTGAGCTCATGTGGTCTTCAAAGATTGAAATGATGATAATTAATAACAGGGCTACTGGAAACCTGATGACAATGTAGAGGCATAAAATCATGGTCAGCATAACAATTGTAGCAAATGAGTTTTCCCAACTGAAGGCGTACTTAACGACTATAGTAAGTTTGCGTTTATTATTTTGTTTGAAACAGTCAAATAAACGGGACATAGCTTCCTCGAAATAATGTCAGCAATATGCTAGTGAAAAAGGTTACTCATGATTACTTATATGGTTCCCCATACAGGACGCGATAATAGGAACATTGGGCTCAATCAGTACGGACGGTCATGCGCATAATTCCACGAAGAGTAAATATTACTATGTCCTAGCACTAAAACTAGCCCTAAAATCAACCTAAACCGCAACCTTCAACGGGATCTGAACCATACCCTAAAACGTGACCGTACACTTAATACTAACTGTCGCCCTAACCCTATATATAACCCTGGTCATCTAACCTTAAACGCAACCGTGATTTTCCCCCAATTTTGTGTAAAGTCACATATATTGCCTACGTTTCCTGTTCTTAAATCCTTTTTAGGAAGCTCAATAACTTTTCTTTGCCAACAAGCATTAACTTGACCTTGCCAAGCTTCAGTTCTTTTTCTCATTCCTGTTCTATTGTTCTTTCTGTCTATCCTCAAGGGAATCCGTAAGTCTTCGGCAGCGACTCTCCGAAGCCGAGTCCGTACGCCATGCCCTGCAAACGGAAGTCAGTCTGGCCCAAAGGCGTCTCACCGAATCGGAAGAGAAACTGCGCTCTCGTGAGAGGACCATGAACCAGGCACTGGAGGACTGCAAGCGCGACACCAAACGCATGGAGGAGAGCAAGCAACTGCTTCAGTCGAGGGTGCGTTGCAAGTCAGGGACCCCGAAATTCATTAGTGCATCGGGTAGCCCTACTTATTGGATAGAATATGAGGTCAAATCGGCGGAACTAGAGTCGTAGCAAGTACTACACGTCAGGCGGTCAGCTATCAGCGGCAGAAAATCGATATATCGACTGACTGCTCCTTGCGATTGGCTGACTCTGAACCTAAAGCTCCGATTGTACAATTCCTACCACGTTGTGGAAATTTGCCGTAGATAGACGAGTGAAATAAGATTAGGGCCTACAAATGTACGCTTTGGATACTGGCGCTAATTAACTAGCTGCAATGTGAGGATTAGTTAGTGAGTCTACCGATATTTTTAGCCAAAAAGTACATACACAAATAATAGAAGAGGACGGATGAAACATCGCGGCGACGGTGCAGATGCTATCTATGGAGGCCATTCACAAGTCAGCGATAAGAGCCACATCTCTAGAGGTTGTTAATTCATCCCTCTATTTGTAGTTTCGGCAACAGTAGCCTATGTAGGCCACTCATTAATCTCTATTACGTGCATGTTTTCCTATGAAGCGGTGGTTATAGGGTTTTATGGGTGGGGAATTAGGACACGCAGTGGAATATACTTTCATAAATGCTAAATCCATTTTAATTTTACTGTATTTAGAAGTGTTGTTCATTTATATCTGTAGATTTTCCTAATTTGTATTAGCGTTTAACGTATCGCGGAAAAACACCATTATCAAATTGCAGGTCTCTTGAATTTCCTGAAAAACTGGAAGGTTGGTTAGGAGGTCGTCTACTTCAACTTACCTGAGGTCCAACCTACCATTTAGGAGTTATATTAGTATAGTCCATACGGCGAAGCGCCGCGCACACCTTCAATTTACATGCGGAACAACTTACTCCCAGCAGCCGCGGGTAGCAACTTAGACTACATTTTTTTTCACTTTAAACTTAATTCCGAAAATTTCCTTTCTCTCCTATCCTATTTCCCCACCCCCCAAAATTCTATAACCACCGTTTTTGCAGGAGAAAATGCTGGGACCAGAGGTATATGAGTGGGCCTACATAAGTTACTTTTATCGTAGTTCGTAATAATGAACTACCCTCCGACTACAAAACGCTAAAATTACACATATGGTTCCGGTGTCCGATCCGTCAGCCCTCCCCTTACTCGTACACACAGCAGATTACCTAACTCATTCTAAAGGTCTCAGTTTGCAAAAGATTAATAATAACACGCAGATATACATTAAAGTTTGTAAACTCTGAAATGATAACGAGCAACCTTTAGCGAAATTAGAACTTAAAGTTTAATGTCACTTTGTTTAGAAATACCATTTTCTAAAAAGCCCCGATTCCGAAAAGGTGAATAATCGCTGTTCCTATGACGAATAAACGTAACTAGAACTGTTAAGTGACATCGTAAACCTAAACTTTTGTATATATTAAAAGAAATTTTTTTTGTCAAATTTCTCTTTAGGTATTTCTAGTATTCGTTTACAATTACTTTCAATTTTAAAACAGGCGTATATGGCAGGATTTATTGGCATCAATACATTTCGTGACAGCTTCTCAGCTGCATCTTGTCGCTGCATGATGATGATAGCGAAGAGTGGATACATCAATTTGAAATTATACAGAATGAATGGCATAACAGTAAGGACCGTAGTTCAGTTTAAATAATAATAATAATAATAATAATCGATAAAGGACACTGCAGTAAGTCAACGTATAGGAAGAAAGGGGGAGTGGGTTAGGGAAGTTAATGAAAACCACGGTCCTTGCTGTTATGCCATTCATTCTGTGAAATTTCAAATTGGTGTATCTCCTCTTCGTTATCATCATCATGTAGCGACAAGATGCAGCTGAGAAGCTGTCACGAAATGTATGGATGCCAATAAATCCTGCCGTATACGCCTGTTTTAAATTTGTACCGGGGAAAAAATGCTTCAAATTACCTGCAACTCCTATTTAAAATTCTGGCGAATGCGTTACGAAATTCCGTGTTTTTAAGCTTTTTCCCACAAATTATGATTATGTTCGGCGTTTTCATCAAAACCTTTGAAACAAGATTTTTCTTGAAACAAATTACTAAAGAAATAATTTTCTTTGCTTTGACCTTTAGGCCAAACTTATTGTATCATAACCTTAGCAAGGACCACAAAGCTAACTCCGACCCTCTACCAATCCCTCCCCCGGAACGTAACACAACGTCACGAACCGCAAAAATCTACTCAATCGATGGATGAGGACCGCCGAGACTATATGAAGGCGTATGCGCAAAGATTTGAGGTCCAAATATCTTATCGTTTTCATCATCCCACAAAGAAGAAGGTTTAAGGACATGGACCGAGTTATATTGGGACTGACGTTTCGGACACTCGCCTGTTTCCATCGTAAGAGTAATGCGGTGATTGTTCCTGTTTGCTGGGACTGTTTCAGCCTCGCTGCATGCCTTCGTCTTCTTTGGGGATGATAAAAACGATATAAAAGCGTCTTTCCATTTCCTGCATTTAATACTACTATATGAAGGTTGCCTTCCCTGTCGTGTTCAAGTTCATTACATAAGACATTCGACTTACATGCTCAGTGAACCACTGATCTGAGACTGAACTTCTACCGATCAATTCCGAGAATCGGCTGATTGCTGATTTGGGAAGAGTCCCCTCTTAGGTAACATTGCTGGCAAAGATGGGGGTAAATGGAATGTCAATTTCTGGCTCAGCCTGTCATACCCTACACCGAGTGGTTTCCCACCCGAGGCTCGCACCCACGACCATTTGGTAAGAAGTCTAGCGCTCTAATTATTGAGCCAGGGGCTCGCTGTCTTAGAACTTTACACTCTGATTCAAAAGTTCGCGAGATCGAGCCTCGGGTGGTGCACCATTGGAGTTTAGGTATGACTGGCTGACGACGCTTTTAAGCTAGAAACGGCCATTCCAGTTTGCATTGTCCTTGCCGGCAATGCTATCTGTCTAGACTACTTACCGCTGTGCGGCTG